CTGGAACAGAAGTTACATAAATCTTGATTTTCGTTTAACCCTTGAAGTTTGTATCCGTTCAAATACGTATTAATAATATAAACTTATGAAAATATACTGCTTAAACTAACGTGTATTAGTAGATTAAATTTTTATAATAAGGATTATATATAACAGATAATATAAGTTACAGCACTATGCATTTTTCATTTTCAAATTTAAGCACTTAAAATTCGCATTGGCCTATGATATGAAATGGTGCTGCTTTACATATACTAACAATTAGGTAATCATCGTGGTCTCAAAAATGAATTAATAACATCCTGAAAATCTCTATGAACTTTCATATGAAATCTATTTATAATCACAAATTATAACAATATAAAACGTATCAAAATTGACCTCTATATAAGTACTACCACCTTCAACACATTAATTATATATACTGTATCGAGATTAGACTGTATTATTTGGCATTGCCAATGCTAAAATCAAAAATTAATTCTTAGGAAATCTTTGAAATAAAAAATATATTTTTAAGCAAAATAACATGATTTAAATTATTAGATAATAATATATATTGCAAAAAAAAGTTAGCTAATTACTTTATACATTTATTGTCGGGGATGATGCTGAAATTTGGAGCTTTAATTTAAAATATAAACCCTACTAAAATCTACTTATACTCTTTTATTATAAACAGTAACCCTAAATTCTAACCTAACTATAAAAAAAAGCTGAACAGAACACCCCAAAAAAAATTTAAATTTTCATAATAATATAAGCAAAAATTTCAGCATCATCCGATTTCAGCATCAACCCCAACATTCATTAATACCGTTGTAGGCTATCGGCTTATTTATAAATATAATATATAGTTAAATATACAAGATGTGTCAAACAGATATCCTTAGACCTCTTCTCTACGCTTTTTAGTAAAACAATTACATGAAGAAATACATAATGATATAGAAGCAATAAATAATAAACAAAAGCTTAAGCCAGATAAAATGATTCCAGAACCAGTCTGGTGACTTCCAATGCCAGGTATAGCAGCAATAATCTTAAATACTACATCAAATAGCCAGAGATCAAAGGCAAAAGATAATAAATTTAAAATAGTAGAAATAATTACGACGGCAGTTACAACGATTTCAATGATTTGAAATTTTAAAATTAATAAAACCAAAGCAAATATATTAATGATGAAGACTAACACATAAGGAATAGAGAAAATTCCAGCAATATTGGCTGTCGAGATTTTTGGTTTAAAGTTGCTAAGACCATTTGATAATCCAGAAGCAATTTCATTAGGGGATGGTGTTGATGGTGTTGAAGGTGTTGAAGGTGGTGAAAAAGGTGTTGAAGGAGGTGAAGGAGTTGAAGGAATCGAAGGAACTGAAGGGAGATTGATTTCAGAAGGGGAAGGTACTAGTGATTGAATTGCGTAAATAAGTAAATTGAAAACAACGAATACAAAACATAAAATTTAATTTAATGTATACCTTTATCGAAATTATTGGTTAAAGAAGGAGTAGTACAATAATCATCCACACAATAACAATACAAAGTAAATTTCATTTCATTCTTTCCCGTTAAAAGCTTTATTGGGTCACCAAAAGAAAATTTTGCCAAATAAATAGTTTTATTACTACCAACTAGTAGTATAAAGATAAATAAAGATGATAAAGCGACTAAAGTTATTGAAGTACTTTTTAAAGGATTTTTCTTAAATGGAAGTATAATATAAGTATGAAAATACGTCGAGAATTTATTTTTAAATTTTGCATCGTTTGATTCGGGCAACTTTTCATCTTCCATTTTTACAAATATCAAGCAATAATTTTTTTCGTTTGTTGGTTCTACCACCACTAAATATGACCCTATTAATATGAAAAAAACTTCTTTGTACACCCACATATAACAATAGCTTTGGATTGTCTATTTTTGTGTAAAGACATTGTCATGATTATTACCCAAATCCATAATAATATATATGCTGTAAGTGGGAATGGAACCATAATAGGGTTCGGAATCCATTTAGATTAGTATGGAATAATTATACTAAAAAACCCAACCCTAACCTTAAAATTTCCGAATCAATTTAAATTCTATTCCCACATACGACATATATAAGCAAATATCTTTTAGATATACCATAAATGGCTAAATTAAATGCCATCCA